GGAATGTCAAGCTATATTGGATTGGGGTTCTCGAGAAAAAGGTAATTGAAAATAAGAAGCTAATACTTCTTCGTTTCTTTAGGTTTACTACTGCGTCCTTATATTTCGCGATTTCGATCTACGCATCTCAGCTCCATGGCAACATATACGTCATCTGGCTGGTATACACAGCTATTAGTTGTGTTCTAATTCTGCCAACATGGTTTTCAATGAACTAGTAAGTGGCGTCTATCTAACTATTGATCGATATASATTGGCTGGCTGGCTGCTGGCACATTATTCTCTGGGTGWTTGATTGGCTGGTTGGTTCGGTGTTTGATCGTACCCTAATTGCTCGGAGCATTTCATACTTTTTATGAGTTTAGTTCTTTCAACCAGTTTACTCATCTGTTGTTTTCAAGTTTGGGACGTCGTATAACTCAGTGTGTATTGATGACCATGACCGGTACAGCACTGCTGCTAACACTGGCTTTGCCAAAAGGTTTGAACTATATAGATCGGGCCCGTAGGCCCGTAGCCCATAGGCTAGGGGAATTCGGGGGTTCGGACGAAGCCCCCTACAAGCTTAAAAGGTCCGGTGTTTCTCTTTTTTTATTGTTCTATTTTAAAATTCTTTTGTTATGAATTGTGTTTGAGATAGTAATTTGTTTTGAACTGCTCAATATACAAAAAGTCAGGTCTTACACACTATCCTGTGCATTGAACTAATTTAGTTAAACATTTAATTTAGGTCCGCATTATGAAAAAAACAAAACAAAACAAGGCAAGGCACCCTACGGGCCTGTAGTTATCAGTATATATAAGAATTATCATAGTTATTTCTTGTTAGTCGCCTTGCTTTAATCTTTTTATATTCAAACCAGGATATGCTACCACGACAACCTATTTAGCTATAGCTGGGCAGTTAGTGATAAACCAGAGCTGGAGTACCGTGTACCTCATACAAGYGGAACTTTTTCCTACAGTATTGAGGTAATTCTGATAGAGAAACTCACTGACACTCTCCGAAAAATATTTCCCTACTAAGGTGTTAAAGACGCTTAATGAAATATGTGTACCGTTGTCCTGAATAATGAGTCTGTTATCAACTCGTAGAACTGGACAACTATTCACTTATTCAATCACTTTCCTGTAAGCCTTCAATTGTTATCTCCCGCCTAAATGTTGATTTTATGATTTATCAATTAATTAGCTTGACATTGTTTTACACATGCTTCCATGTCTTTCTATATTTTGCTAGAAGTTTGATCAATAATTTTACAAAATCTTTCTTGCGATTACAAAACAAGTTGCGCGACAGGCCTATATTTTGCACCAAAGCAATGCAGAATCAGGCAACAAAACCAATTAAAATTGTCCTTTTTGAGCTCTTGTTTATCTTTTTGCAATGCCAGGAAAATGTTTTTTTTGTGTGTGTGCAAAAAGTCACGACTTTGACATGAATTGCCATTCTTGTTGATTTGGGGGATGCATCTAACCGCTTTATATCAAATATCAAATACAGTTCAAGTGAATTATAAGAACCAGCTATTACTTTGATCTGTTTTGAAGGGATTTCGATTTCAGTCGTACATATAAAGACATATACCTATTTCAAGAAAGGTTGTCGGATAAAATGGCGAATGTTAATTGTCGAACGGCGATTGTACGACCGAAAGTAAACATGGGTTTTGCTATATAATTGATGAGAAATAACAACTGATTTATCCTATAAGATAGTCTGTGATGAGCATTTTCTCAATTCAGTCTCCATTTCTATGCAAACCAACGTGAAATTTTGTTTGTCAAAACAGTCGTGCATTCTCCCTTCGACAATCGCCGTTCTCCTCGACAACGTTTTTTGAAATAAGTGTATAAAGTGGCGAATAAAATCGCAAAGAAAAACATATTTTCTGCGCATCGCAAGGAAAAAATTAACTTTTTTCTATTATGATTGTTTGCCTCTCTAACACGCTTTTTACACCAGTAATAATAGCAATGCRACAACGTCTTTCTTATTTTTCTTAACAGAAATACAGCCCAAGGAGTGGGTTCTACTGCTGCKMRTATCGGTGGGATAACCGCTCCATTCTTTCTCATGCTGGTAAGAGAGTTGTCRTGCAAAATATGCGGCATAAGYTGATATTCTAGTTTGACTAATTAATTAGTTTAATTTACCTTATTATTATCTAAGAAATACCTATATTTCTCCATTTTGTAAAGTTGTTATTTTCACATTGAAAATAGCACATTCGGGGTTTAGTGGAAGTAAGGAAAAAGGTATTTTACGAAA